ATCACTTAAGCCCAGGAATTTGAGGTTGCTGTGAGCTAGGCTGACGCCACAGCACTCTAGCCCGGGCAACAGTGAGACTCTGTCTCAAAGAAAAAAAAAAGGCTCTGAGAAGTCTTGCACCGAACAGTGTTTTTCCCAAACTTATTTGGACAGAGGCGCTTGCTGAATCTCTAATAACATCTGTGGGACCCCATGGCCCACCAGAATGCGGTTTGAAAATCGCCGGCCATTTCTGTTGAGTCTGCTATATATTTGCATTGTCTCATGTAATTCTCACATACTCCAATTCTGAATATGACCGTCTCAGGGCCACTGCACAGGACTCGGGACGAGTCTACCTTGCTCCTGGTCTGTCCCAGCCTCAGCACAAGCCCTGGCCCAGGACCTATCAGACTTAAGGAAGTATATCCCACTGCCTGATCACCCCATTAATTACCCCAAACGAGGCCTCAAAGTTGGATCCAGAGAGCAGAAGAAAGCAAGCCCCCTCCCACTGCCTGCTCCCAGCCCCCTCCAGATGTGCCGTGGCAGGGCCGGGCTGGGCTGCGGGGGACTCCTTACCCGGCACACAAAGCACTCGGGGTGCCAAAGCGTGTTGAGGGCCGAGATGTAGTTCTCCAGGATGGCCCGGGCACAGCCGCCACACTTGGGCGCGAACATGTCAAAGTAATCCTTGCGGCAGTAGGCCTTGCCGTCCTTCTCGTGGAACCCTGAGGAGTGGGGGTTTGGGGGGCCAGAGTTCAGGCTCCCAGAAGTAGAGTCGCCCTGACTCCTACATCAATGGTCTCCCACCTCCAGCCTCCCGGCCTCCCAGGAGGAGGTGAGTCAGTCTGCCTGCACGTACCTTCGGGACCGAAGAAGGCTCCACACTGGGCACAGAAGAAGTGCTCAGGGTGCCACGTCCGGTCAAGAGCCGTCACCACTTTCTGTGAAAGTAAAATACGGCGATAAAAGCCAAGCTGCTGCCCCATTGGACAGATCCCACCACTGAGGCTCACAGGCAAAGAAAGAGAGCAAGACCCCATCTCTACTAAAAATAGAAAGAAATTAATTGGCCAACTAAAAATATATAGAAAAAATTAGCTGGGCATGGTGGTGCATGCCTATAGTTCCAGCTACTCGGGAGGCTGAGACAGGAGGATCACTTGAGCCCAGGAATTTGAGGTTGCTGTGAGCTAGGCAGACGCCACAGCACTCTAGCCCGGGCAACAGTGAGACTCTGTCTCAAAGAAAAAAAAAGGCTCTGAGAAGTCTTGCACCGAACAGTGTTTTTCCCAAACTTATTTGGACAGGGGGCGCTTGCTGAATCTCTAATAACATCTGTGGGACCCCATGGCCCACCAGAATGCGGTTTGAAAATCGCTGGCCATTTCTGTTGAGTCTGCTATATATTTGCATTGTCTCATGTAATTCTCACATACTCCAATTCTGAATATGACCGTCTCAGGGCCACTGCACAGGACTCCGGGACGAGTCTACCTTGCTTCTGGTCTGTCCCAGCCTTAGCACAAGCCCTGGCCCAGGACCTATCAGACTTAAGGAAGTATATCCCACTGCCTGATCAACCCATTAATTACCCCAAACGAGGCCTCAAAGTTGGATCCAGAGAGCAGAAGAAAGCAAGCCCCCTCCCCACTGCCTGCTCCCAGCCCCCTCCAGATGTGCCGTGGCAGGGGCCGGGGCTGGGGTGCGGGGGGACTCCTTACCCGGCACACAAAGCACTCGGGGTGCCAAAGCGTGTTGAGGGCCGAGATGTAGTTCTCCAGGATGGCCCGGGCACAGCCGCCACACTTGGGCGCGAACATGTCAAAGTAATCCTTGCGGCAGTAGGCCTTGCCGTCCTTCTCGTGGAACCCTGAGGAGTGGGGGTTTGGGGGGCCAGAGTTCAGGCTCCCAGAAGTAGAGTCGCCCTGACTCCTACATCAATGGTCTCCCACCTCCAGCCTCCCCAGGCCTCCCAGGAGGTGAGTCAGTCTGCCTGCACGTACCTTCGGGACCGAAGAAGGCTCCACACTGGGCACAGAAGAAGTGCTCAGGGTGCCACGTCCGGTCAAGAGCCGTCACCACTTTCTGTGAAAGTAAAATACGGCGATAAAAGCCAAGCTGCTGCCCCATTGGACAGATCCCACCACTGAGGCTCACAGGCAAGGAAAGAGCAAAACACTCCAAGGCCAGGGTTTCTCCTAAGTGGGCTGGGTTTGAATCCCGGCCCAAGTGTTTCCTGGCTGTGTAAGCCTCAGGATGTGCCACGACCTCACCGCCCGCACCCTCAGAGGGCTCCCGTGGAGACGAGCCGAGCCGGCGTGGCGCAGTGCCCGGACTGATGCACCGGCCGCCCCTCCCCACAGCACGCGGCAGGGACTCACATCCAGGATGGGGCCGTTGCAGTAGTAGCAGCGCGGGGAGAAGAGGTTGTGATAGTCCTTTTCACAGTAGGGCTGTCCATCCCGCTCGAAGAAGTTCCGGGATCCGATCTCCTCCTGGCAGTGCGTGCAGACGAAGTGCTCCGGGTGCCACGTCTTCCCCATGGCAGTCACGACCTGAGGAGGAAGACGGACTGTGGTGCAGGGCCGAGGCCAGGCATGGAACACCCCCACACCCCACCGCTGAGGAGCACAGGTCCCTGTGCCTGCCGGCCACCACCTCCCCCCATCACCTGTCCGGCGATGGGCTTCTTGCAGGCCCCGCAGACCCCTTTGGCGACCGTGGCGACGCCCAGCTTGTTCAGGTCGGACTGCAAGCTCCCCAGCATGCTGTCTAGCTGGCTCCCGGGCTTTGGGGGCTCCCCAGGTGGTGAGCTGCTCCCTGTCTTCCCCTGGGCCATGAACTGTGGAGACAGGGAGCGGGGGCTGGTCAGGACTTCCAGTGCTTGGGTTTTGGGGTCTCGCAGCATCATGGCATGGGGGGCAGGGGACAGTTTTCTCCCTCCTGGACAGATGGGCTGATTGAGGCAAGAAGTGCGACCTCCTCTAGGGGCCAGAAGAGCCCTAAACGTGGGAGTGGCACCAACAGGACCTTATGGTGGTCAGAGGAGCCCCAAGAGGGTCAAGAGGAAGGGCCCTGGCACCCTGCTGGCACGAGCAAGCCGAGGGAAGACAGGACGTGCAGCAGCTCAGCCCCCAGCCCTGGGCACTGACCCCTCCCTCGTCCTGCCCTCCGGGACCACTCTGCCCGCCATCCGCCAGGCACAGCTCCCCTTCCGCTCTCTGTTCCAGGCCCTGGATCGTAGATGGGGGAGGAGATAGGGATAAGAAATACTTTTTTAAGAGTGAAGGAAGAAAGGATAAGAGACTTGTCACCGGACCATTTCACAAAAGGGAATTTAGGATGGGATAAGAAGATTCCCACCCCCCCACTGGTAGCACTAACATCAGGAGGAAAAAATCTAGAGAAAAACAGCCGAGAGAGAAAGGCCCAGGGAGAGATGCAGCGGGAGAGGGACAGAGAGGGGAGCCGCCCACAGGCACAGCACACGGGAAGGGGAGGTGACCATGCTCGGAGCGCAGGGAGGCCTTGGCAGGTGCTGGGCCTTGGAGGAGCCGGGTTGCAGGTGTCCCTCGGGAATGGGGTATCCCTGGGGTGGAAGCCTGGGGCCATACTGGGGGTGGCTGGGGAAGGGCAGGCAGACGGGGGACCCCGCAGCTGACACGGACAGGGGTGGGACCTGGGTGTCAGGTTCAGAGGTCTAAGCGAGGACTGTGGTTGCCGTGCAGGGGCTTGTGGATGCAGGGACAGAGTGTGTCTGTGTGTGTATACATGCACACACACACGTGCGTGCAGGGGCAGGGGGGCAGCTCAGGTAGGACGGGGACAGGAAGGGCCGGGGCTGGGGCCCCTGGGAGGCCTGCCTGCACTGGGGGGAGGAGCGGGTCCTCGTCGGTCTGGCAGCCCACGGACCTCATGGTGTGGGGTGCAGGAGTGGGAGGGGCAGGGCCCCGCGCTGCCTCGTCACAGGGCTCTTCCCCCACACTCGGGACCCCAGGAGAACCACGGGCACAAGCTGAGGGCCCCGGGGGCGAGGGGGCGGGCAGGCTGGGCAGGGGAGAAGAGCTGCTGGCCGAGGCGTCTTTGCGATGCTGGAGTGAAGGGACAGAAGGAGGAGAAGCCAGGACAGAGATGGTTCTTCTCAGGGGAATGGGAGAGCCAGGAGGGAAGACAACCTGGGAGGAAGAAAGGAGGGAAAGAGATGAGGAAGACTGAAGAAACCACCAGCTCAGCCGGCGGGGGTGGGAGGACACCCCAGGCTCCCCCACAAGAGTGAGGTTAGCCTTACAAAGCCACAGGGCGCAAGAATCACCCCACCACCCCCAAACCTCCCCCCTGGCCAGCGCTGAGGCCAGGGGAGACCCTGGACCCCTGCCGTCTGGCCCTGGCCCGGCCCCCAGCATCTCCTGGCCACCTTCTCTATAAGCTGCCCCCCGGCCTGCTTCCTGCATGGCTGCACAGTGATGACGACGCCCTCGGTCAGCCAGTCCTGGGCACAGGTCCCTGCCGCCACCTCCTCCTCTGCCTCCAGCTGGATGCCCAGCCGACCCTGCAGCTCTGCGATGAGCCGCTCCTGGGACGGGGTCCTGCTCAGGGTGGCGGGGTCCAGCCGGCGGCGAGGGGAGGGCTCCCGGGACCTGGGGTGTGCACAGCCCGGCTCCTGGCTCCTGATCTCGGAGCGGATCTGGGGGGAGGGGAGGGGAGGCTGTCACAGACCCACTCTGGGCTTGGGCATGACGCCGCTCAGTCCACACTCAGGTGCCCCAGGGGAGGGGAGCAGAACAAAAGCACCCAGAAGAGCCAAGGTGAGGTGGGTGGAGGCAAGGGGGCAGGCAGACTGGCCAGGAGACCTCTGACCCGGCCAGCATTCACCTCCAAATCAGCCTCTGACCCCAGGCAAGGCACTTAACGTCCATGGGCCTCAGCCTCTCTGTCCTTAAAATGCAGTCACAGTATTTTCTTGGCTTATCTCACAGGGTCATTGCAAGAATTATTTGAGAGGATGTAAGTGGACACTCTTGACAGGGCATAAAGACTTTTCTTTCTTTCTTTTGATTTATAATTTTAGAGTCTTTCCTTCCAGTAAATCTTTTAACTAGTTTTTCTTTTGGTTTATATTACACTATTCTATATTATACTTGGTTGTAGTGTTTCAGGGGTTTTTGTGATTATTTTTGTTTTTGGAAAGGGCATAAAGTTTTAATCAAGCAGGAAGTAAATAATAATACCAGTACCGTCAGCCACGGTTTACGTGGGGACCACGGGCAGCGTTCTAAACACGTTCCACGAATTATTTAGTTCTCTGGACATCCCTGGTGGAAATGGGCTATTATTATCCCATTTTAAAGATGAGAGGACTGAGGCTGATGGAGCGAGTTGCCCAAGGTCACAGAGGTAGCAAGTGTCGGAGGTGTGGTTTGCATCTAGGTCTATCTGGTTTCAAAGTCCGTGCTTTTAACCATTTCCCGAACATCAGAACGTCAAGGGCAGCTCGTCTTTAAGGGAAAAGCCTTAACCAAGCAGGAGGTGGGTTATCACTACGAGAAAGGCTGGGGCCCAGGGAGCTCTGCTGGCCCCACAGAGCCTGTCGCCAAATGCTGGCCGTCAGGTCGCAGGCCATGGCATCTCAGTGTTCTCTGCCCAACCAGACATGCGCGGGGTGGGAGGCTGCATGCATCAGCGAGGGCTGGCCCACACTCAGCCCCGCCAAGGGCCATGCCTAGCAGCCATGCGAGCGGGCGCCTGCCTGGCCGGAGGTGGAAATCCTCTCTGTGGCGTTGGGTGTGCCCGTGACCATGGCATGGGGAGGCTCCGGCCGTTCTTTCCTGGCCTTGGTAGCAGCTTCAGTGGTGCCCTCTGGGCTCCCTGGGGTCTCAGGTCCCTGGGTTGACCTGGTCAGCCTTCCCCTATTAGACATCTCTCCACCCAAGTGCTTCATGTTAACTGGAACAGGGCTGCTGCTTCCCAGCCTCCCTGCCTCTGGCCTTGCCCTCTCCTTCCACTGGCCACGTTCCTCCGTGACACTCCAGGTATCTGGCAAGATGGCCTGACGGTCCACAGCCACGACCACTGGCTCAGTGACTTCTCGGAAGCTGCAAGCAGCTCCACACGGAGTGTCAGGCCTGAACGCCTCCAAAGGCCATGGCTGCTCCCATGTGGCAGTCACGGCCTCCTCTGGGCACAAAGGATTGGCTGGTGGCCCTTGGGGATCTCCAGGCTCCTGAGGACTTGTGCTCCCAGCGCAGGGTAGAGTGTGGCAGGGAGGCGCCCCAGAGAGCTCACTTGTGAGGTTCAGCAGGTGCCTGCAATCGCGACCCTGGCTCTCTGCACCACGTGGCCCCAGAGAACCCTCCACAGAGGGAGACCCTGAATTGCAGGTGTCAGGCATCTCCCCAAGACCAGCCAAATCAAGCCAGCTGGGGGCCACAGGAGGTGGAAGGCCATGTCCCATCCGCTTGGTACAGGTGGCCTTCAGAGTGTGGCCTTGGCTTCGAGGGGAAGGCTTAGTGGTGGACGGCAGGAATACAGACGGCATGGGAGGAGGGGGAGGAGGAGAAGGAGAGAGTGAGTGGCGTGAGGACGCAGCAGAGCTGGGCAGCAGCCCCGGGGAGCCCAGGGCCACGGTGCAGGAGCTGGTCTGGAGGAGGAGAAAGACAAAGGCAGGGGAGAGGAGAGAGAGAGGAGAGGTGAGGAAGGCTGCTCCTTGCAAGGAAGGGGTGGGCTCAGCCTTAGGGCTCTCAGAGCCCTCATCCATACCGACTAAGGTGGCTTCAGAACTGACACATGGGACTGACCCGTGAAGAAGATCCAGACCCCAAAAAGGCTTTCCTGGGCTTCATGTGCTTGGCCCTCATCAAACCCAGGCCAGAAAGCAACCACTAAGCCAGGCGTGGGGGGCCGCCCGGAGCAGTATGAGGGAGAAAAGACTGAAGTGAGGTGGACAACGAAGAGACGGTGACCAGGCAGGTCAGCCTCAGGCACCTGCTCAGCCCTCGCAGATGCTGGCTCAACTCTCAGCGGAGTCCTTCCTGGGCAATCCCAGCTCTCCCACACCCCCAAGCCCTTGCTCTGGGGACACGGCCAGAACCAGTGCTGCTTCTTGCTGGGCCCCGGGACAAGGCTGTCTGAGAAAGCGACAGCCTGAGAGGCGCCAGGGCAGGGCTCCCTTAGGCCAACGCCTGAATTCAACTTCCGTACTTCTGACCATCACTGTTCAGAAGGCGTGGAGCTGGAATTATGGCACACGAGGGTCACAGGCCTGGGCTCACCCCATACCCCAGCCGTGCTCCCATCCTTGAAACCTCAGCCGATGGGCGGCTCAGAGGTGCCATCGGGGCCAAGGGTGCACAGGCCACTCACTCCCCTCCTCGTATTCTGGGAGTCGTGCCCCCAGAGGTCTGCTGACCCACGTGGAAGTGTGAAGTCAGCAACTGCTGCAGTGTTCCGTCGCTATCAACCCCCATGGTGGCACCGCCGCCTCTAAACAAAACATCTCAGGCCTGGCAGGGCTGGGAGGCCCGGAAGGGGAGGGGAAGGGGCACCTCGTGCAGCACTGGCCCAGTGGTTTCCCAGATAGAGCCTGTGGGAACTCAGAGGCCCTGGAGGCAGAGAGAGAAGGATGGGAGGAGGGTGGTGAGGGACGCCCACGGACTCAGCGGCCAGAGGCGGAAAGAAAGAGGATGTGTTGAGGACAGTGGGCATGGGAGATGGGGCTCCAGGGCAAGTGACCTCTCAGACACGGGATCCCAAGTCCCACATGGCCCAGCACAGAACACCCTCCCCCACCAAGAGCAGCCATCACACAGGGCCCTTTGTCCCAGTGTCCCGGCCTCCTGATCTCCTCGCCCTGAGTGGCTGGGAGCGCCCAGGGAGGAAGGAATGTCCCAGATGAGTGTTTCTCTGTCTTTATCGGCTGCCGCGGCAGCTCAATCCCCACGCAGACGGGCCTGGCCCTCCCTCCCCCGTATCCTGGTATCCTGGCAAGGCCAGGGCATCGCGGGGTCCCTAGTCCAGGGGCAAGACACCCAAACACCGAGGGGCCCAGGTCCAGTGACTCGCACTGAGGTAAGGGAGCAGAAGAACGAGGGAGGGCGGCAGGGCAGGGAAGAAGGAGGGGTCACAGGGCACCTTAAAATCCGACAGTGAAGCCATCAGCTCGTCCAGCTCCCTGGTGGCAGAGGAGGCCGAGATGCGCGTCTGCTGCTGGCTGGAGACACGCTGAGGGCTGCCCATCTCGCCCTGGTTAACGGTGATGGCGGGGCTGCGGGGCAGGCACGGCTTCAGCGGGGAGCCCGGAGCCCGGCCCCAGGCATCCCAGGGGATCAGACCAACAGCTCAGCTCCGACACTGGGGTCCCACCCCCCCCACCCCCAGGGAAGCCCACTGGCTCCCAGTCTTTCCTGGGGACCCATCACTGGGAGGGGGGCTGTCAGCCAGGGGGGCGGCTCCCAGGTGAGCTGGCTGGGGAGAAGAGAGCACCTTTCCCAAGAAGACTCCTCCGGCCCCCCCAGCCCAGGTGAAAGCTCGCCTGCTAAACAAGCCCCTGTATGTTTCCTCCATAACACTGTACGTAGGTGTGAGATTATTACAATGACATGATAACACTAATAAGAGCTCATAATATTAAGCACTTGCCATGTGTATCACGTGCTACGAGCCAGAAACCATTCCAAGCACTTTACATGGATTATTTGGTCTCACCCCTACTGAGGTAGGTAGTCTTGTCCCCGACATCCCATAACTCCTCATCCTATTTTACAGATGGGAAAACTAAGGCTTGAGAGCTGACGATAACTGGCAGAGCCAAGATTTGAACCCTATTGTGCGTCTGTGGCTCCAAAGCCTGTGCTAACGGCTGCTAAGCTGCAGACGCCCTTGGCGAGCACGACGCCCGTCTTTTCGGATTGGCAGTGGCTAGCTGAAGGCAGGATGGTGCCCACGTGACTCACCACTACACCCCAGTGCCTGGCAAACAACCGGCACTTGAGGGAATGGGTGACACCAGGGCTAAGGGAACAGGCACTGGGACCCGGGCACTGGCTGGGCCAAACCTTCGCCGCTGCCCAGAGGGTACTCACACGGGGCTGGGCACAGAGCTCTCCAGTTCATCCAAGAGACTCTCCACGCTGGGCCGCACGTCCTCCAGGCCCCGGCCCCCATTCCGCTTAGGCTTCTCTTTTGTCAGGGGCCCAGCCTTCCCCGCCACGGGGCTGTTATTCTCCGGGACGCCATAGTGAGGGCTCAAGGCCCCGGGAAGTGGAGGGCTTGTGTTGGCCTCATCTTGGAGAGAAAGAGAGAAAAAGGCTGCTTAGCCCCTAAGCCCTTGGGGAAGCCAGCGGCCAACAGAGCCGGGCCGGAGGGTCTGGCAGGCCCCTGCCCAGGCCCCAGTTCCACCTGCAGGGAAGCCCGGCGGGTTGTGCTGCACAGCATTCAGCTCCAGCAGCAGGCGGTCGAGTTCGGAAAGGTTGCTGCCCAGGGAAGTGCTCATTACGGTGGGCGAAGGCTCAGCCGATTTCTGCTTGTTGGGGAAGCTTCGGGAGGAAAAGGAAAGAAGACAGTGAGATACTCCCTGGCCTCGCAGTGGCTTTCAGTCCCCAGATTCTCAAGGAGAGCAAGGCGGAGGGGCCTGAAGTCTCCCCTAGCAAGAAGACAGAGGGCAGGGAAGGGGTGTGGTGAGAAGAGGGGAAGAAGGAAGTCCTGCATCAGTTCCTCAGCGACCTGGAGATGTTGCGACAGCCCGGCCCGCCCGCTGCAAGGAGATGGCAGTGACTGGCAGACTGGCCGGGCAAGAGGTAGAAGAGCTGGCCAGGGCCCTCAGGGCCTCCTGCAGCTTAAACCAAAGACCCTGGAGGCAGAACCCCCTGAGTGCCAGCTGTCATGCCTGGTGCCTGGCCTCAGCTGCCTCCAGCCCTCACCAGGTCCCTGCGATTTCTGAGCAGGAGGGGAAGGTGCCGGAGAGGGGCCGGGCATTACCTGTAGACGTGCTCTTCCTCGCCCGATCGGGAACACGGAGAGCCGTCCTGAGGGTTGGAGGCACTGGAAGTTTTGGCACTGGAGCCGTACACAGGTGACGGGGACTGAGGCTGCAAGAAGAAGGGTGCTCAGAGCCTCTCCCCAAGGGGAGAAAAAGGAATGAGGGACAGAAACAGCCCGAGTCACCCCCAGAAGGCTCCTGCTCACAGCCAGTCTCACCAGGGAATTTCCAGTCTGGCCAGGAGACCTGTGATTAACACTTGGTCACTGCCCCCTCACGTGGTGGGCGGGAAGAGCAGCGTCTGGTCAGGGAGAGCCGATTCCCCCAATTCCATTCCTCCACCAACTCCCCAACCCCTGCCACATAAGGCTCCTTTTGCCCTCCAAGCCTCTGGGGCTTCCCAGCCCCTGTTCCCAGCTTACCTGCTGGTGGATGAATCGGGAGCCACTGGGCTGCCACTGGTCTAAGGGGTCAAGGACCGTGCCATTGAGGGCCTCGCTGGATGGGGGTGGAGGGACAGGGGGTGGCACAGCAATCTCCTGATACGTGTGGTTTCCAGTTGGGTACGAGTAGGGGGTCTCCTCGGACAAGAACACAGGCCGTTTGGAGATGTGGGAGGTGGTGGACTCCAGGTCCGCCAGCAGGGCATCTGCGGAGAGAAGGCGCCGAGAGCAGGTAAGGACCAGGGGCCCTGGGACCTCCCAGTGGCAGTGCCTTCCCTGCCTGCACCTCAAGAGTTAATGCCTTCTAGCACCTGCCCCACCCACAGAAGAACAACCAGCCTCAGGACTGGAAGCTACCAGCCCAGACTAGCCTGGCCAAGAACCGGCTCCCAGAGCTGATCTCTTCTCTCCAGCCCAGACTCCAGGTGCCCTGGAGGCTCACTCCTGCGGGACTCCTAGCCCTGGGGCCGCGCCTACCTCTGGGAGTCGGGCACCTGGCTCTCCGTTCCCTGCTGACAGGGCTGCACCGCTGGCTGTGAGTGAGAAATGCCTGCCCGGACCTCTGGATCCGCAGGGCCACGCAGGGAGAATGGGCGGGAGGGGCCCACGTCACGGGGAGGGGCCCGGCAGAGCCAGGCCCTCGCTTCACTTCCAAGAGCTTAGGCTTTTTCAGCCCCCAGACTGGAGAGGGCACCTGCGGTGGCACCTGCCCCCCTGAGCAGGTAGAAGCAGAACCCCAGGCTATGGGGCAAGGTGTGTGGGGACGTGGGGGAAGGAATGGGCTGGTGCAGTGGTCCCCACCCTCTCGGCGAGCAGGGGACAGGAATGCTCTGTCGGCTGTTTCTGCTGAAGCTTGGCCAGAAGCCTGGCCCCAGAGGCTCCAGGGCCCCACTATTCTGCTTTTAACAGAAGCAAAGGAGCCGAATCAGCCCTCAGCACAAGCGTCCATTACCCTGACACCTGGCAGCCAACCAGGGGCCCTAGGTCTGCCCCGTCCCAGCCGAGAAGGGCACAGCTGGAAGGGAGGGGGAGGAACTGCTGACACCCTATCCCCTCCCCTCCCAGGACCCTTAGCAACCCCACGGCCCACAGCGGCCCCAGATGCCACACCCTCATTCTTGCCGTGCTCCTGGAGTTGCTCACTCTCAGCTCCCTGGTAACCTGCGGGGTCGGGAATGCTTGATGTCTAGTCTTCGGGATAATAACCATCAAAAAAGTAATGGCCGAGTTCATTGCCATTTCCTAGTACCAGGCACCGTGCTAGGCATGCTGCACACAGCGTCTCAGTTAATCCTCCGAATACTCTGTCTAGTCGGAATTTCACAAAGCCAGGGAGTGGCAGGACTGTGCGACTCCTCAGAAGCCCCAAACCCTAAAGAATTGGCCTGTATGAGGCTGCTGTGACCACAAGATACCACATTTAAAGGGTTCAAATTCCTGACTGTCCGGAGCCCACACTCTGATGCTTCTTTGTGGCCCTGGCCCTGGCCCCACCCTACGCAGAGGGGGGAAGAGGGAAGCAAGGCCCTCACCCAGGGCCTCACCTTCTCCCAGCGGCCTGCCCTGATCTCCAACCCCTGAGGCTGGCCACACCTACCCTAGGCTCCTGCCCAGATGGTTAGAGGAGAGTCTGATCCTCCAGGTCCTGGTCTCCTGACTTCTGAGGAAGGTCTCTTCCTGCAGCCCCCCTCCCCCTCCGGGTCCTCCAAAGAAGGTCTGGCTTCCTGTCTCTAAGCAAACCGGAACTAGAGGGAGTTGGTATATCTAGGTAACAGCAGAAAAGGAACCAGTGTCCAGGCCAATCCCAGTGGCCCCTCCAGGGCCACACCTGCTGCCCGGGCTTCACGCAATATCACCTTTTCCTCTGGACTCAACCCAGCATGGGCAGGTCCCTCCTCCATCATGGGCAGAGCAAGCTACAACATCCCACAGGGCTCCCCAGAGCAGGCAACAAGTGCCACCCTGGTAGGGACAGCAAGAGCAGCTGCCCTTCCTGAACACTCACCAGGGCCAGGAGCTTATCCTGTGCTACCTGCCTTCCTCATCACAATGACTCTAGTATGGATGGTAAAACCAACGTTCAGAGGCAGAAGTCATGTCCCCACACTGCCAAAGCTGGCCGAAGTGACAATGCTGGGCTCTGAACTCAGGTTTCTCGGGCTCCAAACACCCAACAGCAGGTAAAGGGTTACCCTTCCCTGTCAACCATTCTGAATCAGGGACTCTGCCAAACTCCCACAGCCCCTAATGGTTATGTGATTCTCAGCTTGGTTTATTGGTTTATGAATTAGATTCTGATTTATGATTTCAGTGGACTCTTTTCAAGATAGATCCCTGTGTCGGTCGACTGTGGGTGAGAGGGTACAGTCCTGGTGCGCAGAGACACAAGATCACTAGTTCTGCAGTTGAGGCAGACCTGAGTTCAAGTCCCCAATCCTTTACGATCCACACCTCACAGCAAATCACTTAGCTTCTCTGAGCCTGTTTCCTCAGTAAGCTGTGGTCAATAACCCCTACCTCATAGTGTTGGGGTGAAGTTTATAAAGGATAGCAGAGGCTACAGTACATTGGAAGTTAAAAACATCACAATTTTATTTGCTTTGTAAAATCCAGGAAAATGTCTTCATCCAAGGAGAGCAGGGTAGGATGCAAAGCACCAACTTCTCCTCCTAAGTCTTTTCTGGGTAGAATCTGGGCAGGACATGAAAAGGGTAACCTTGAAGATAAAAGTAAAATAATAAAGTAACAACCAAAGTGTGGTATGTGGGGCCAGGCTCTGTGGCTCGAGCCTGTAATCCCAGCACTTCAGGAAGCCCAGGAGAGTGGATCACTTACGGCCAAGAGTTCAAGACCAGTCTGGGCAACATAACAAGACCGCCACTGCTACAAAAAATTTTAAAAAGTAGCCAGGTATGGTGGTTCAAGCCTGTAGTCCCAGCTACTTTGGAGGCTGAGGCAAGAGGATCAGTTGAACCCATCGGTTTGAGGCTGCTGTGGCTATGATTGCATCATACACTCCAGCCTGGGTGACAGAGCACAACCCTATAGATTTTTTTTTTTAAGTGTGGCACATATAGACATCAGAGAGAAGGCAAAATTTTCCAATTTTCTCCAAACTTTTGTCCATCTGAGAAAGAGAGAGGAATCCCAGCAAATACCTGTATAAGCCACAGGGTCTCTAGTACGGTTTCCTCCTCTCTCTCCATTAGTCCTTACCTTGAGATGTGGACAGGACTTGACGTCCAAATCACTAGGCAAGAGGCAGAGGGGTTGGACCCCACACTCCACCCTGCCCAGCCCACAAACCCCTCAAGAAAGAGAGTCAGGAATATAGGACGCAGAGAAGAAGTAGACTCTTAACTCTACTTTGGATTCCAATGGGTGCAAATGCCTGCTGCTTCCCCACAGGCTGCAAAAGGGTTAAGGGCCAAAGTCTCCTTGCAAGCTCAGCACACTCCTCCTGAGTAAACAGAGCCAGCAGACTGCTGCACAAAGGGGTCCACTTGCAGGTAGAGCCCCATCCTAGCAGGTTCCCCTCGTTTGAAGCTACAGCCTTTCATTTGGCTCTAAATATTCCTTCTATTCATACCCATGGAAGGTGTCAGGCTGTCCCCTCTTCAGAGAAAATGGTACCTATTGGAGCTCTGCAAGACCAGGAACGCACCCTCCCTTCCCACGTGTTGGGAAGACAGGTTCCAGATACCCTGCCTGGAAGTCCTCATTCAGTCCAAGGAAAGCCTCAAACTTCCTCAGCATTATTCTACTAAGTTTCTGGGTCCTGTCCCAAGACCCTCCAGACCCTTCACCCTGCGGAGGAAGCTCTCCCTGGGGCCTCCCTTTTCTGGACTCTGCAGCCTTTTTGCCTCTCTGGGCCAGCTGACACAGGCCCTGGCACTTGTACCCACAGAAAAGGGAAAGCCAAGGTCACTGGGCAAGACAATGCAATGTGTTGGGGGGTGGGAGCGTCAGACTGTCTGGAGGCCAAGGGCGGGTCAGGTGCAAAGTCCCCAGCAGGCCAGGGGCAAAGGCCACAGAGCTATGCCCTGGAGAGGAAGGGGTGCAGATCTCCATCGTGTCCACCAGAGGGCGGCATTGGCCAGTCGGCCTCCTGCCACTGGGCTAACCAAAGGTAACCCCGAGCAATCACAGACTCCTCCAGCCCAGCCGTGGAAGGACCCGGGAGCCTCCCAGCCAAGGACGCAGTGGGGAACTTGCAATCCTAAGAGAACTCTGCTGAGCTTGAGGGGCAGAGAAGGCCACTAGCAGGAGCGAGAGATGGCCTGGGTGCCAAGGCCCCGGGGCCGTGCATGAAAAACACTATCATTTGAAGGCGTGCCCCAAGGGACCCAAGAGTGACATGCAGCCTGGCGGGGCTCCACAGACCCAGAGGGATGCATGCCCTGGCTTCTAGTGCCCTCTTTGCAAAGCAGCTCCACGCATGCCCCTGTTTCGACCTCACAGCTGCGCCTGGTCTGAGCAGCAGCGGCTTTGGGGCGGGAGGCACAGCGCTCACCGGCCAGGCAGAGAGGAAGAGGCCCCACCCGGCCCCAGCGACCAACGACTGACGACCCACACCCAGCGTGATCCTTAGGACGGGTGGGAGCTGCAGGTCTGAGGGGGTTAAGATCAGACATGCCCCAGTCCCGCCAGGTCTGAGCTGCTCTGCTCCGAGGAGGGGACTAAGGGGCCGGTCTGCCCGCATTCCACTGCAGATGCAGCTGCCCCTCACATTCCCATGCCATCCCAGGGGTGGAGGGTGCCCAAGGTCCCCTTGTGCCCCCAGTGGGGGGATGTCCCCCAGACCTTGGCTCTGAGGACCCACGCTGACCCACTGACACGTGACACTCAATCCTAGATGAAAGAGAATCAATGAAACCCTTCCTCCCCACCCCCAACTAGAAACAAGTCAGGGCTCTTTCACAAGCCTGGCTTCATCCTCCTACTCCAGCCTCGGCCACATCTTAGTTTGTGATAAAGACTGTCAGGACCAGAGGCCTGAAGCTGGACAGGCGCCAAGAGAGATGAGATAAAGGTCCATCTCTTGGGGGGGTGGGGGAGGACCGGGGCTCTGGGGACGCAGATGTTACAATGTACGCAGGGGAATTCTGAGTCACACAGACTGCGCAGGGGCTGAATGGCTTGGATAGGCTCCTTCACTGCTCTTGTGCCTCAGTTTCCTTGTCTGCCTCATAGGAATTCTACCATTTTACTCACGGGATTAGGAGTAAATGAGAAAAATAGATATAACGTGCTTATTTAGCACAGTGTGCTATAGGAGAAGCCTCCCCGCCAGGTCTCCACCTCCAGACCCACAGGTGGGACAGGGGAGTGTGGGTCACCGAGCCGGCTTTCCAGTCCCTTCCCCGAGATTACGGGCTGCCCTGCCACACCAGTCCCCATGCCTGGACCCCTGCCGTCTGCCCACCTTTGCACCACTCTAGACTTCTCCATCCAGCAGCCCAGGCAGAACTAGAAGAGGTACGGTCCTCTGGCCATCAGGCAGACCCCACCTTGACGTGACTTGTGTTCGTGAGGCCTGGCCTGGGAGAGGCCCACAGTAAGAATGAGATCTTTTTGAGCTGGCTCACCCACCTTCTTTCCAAAGGCCAGTTTAATTCAACTTTCATTGCCCCAGGTCCCCAGAGAGGGACTGGCAAGAAGGAAGGAGCAGCAAACACCACTCTGAAAGCTCCGGAAAAGCAGCAGGGGGCTGCCATGGCACAAGGGCCTTCCCAACAGCCCAGGGCCAGCTGTCTGTCCCTGCCATTTAATATGAAACCAAGACTCCCAGATAGACAGCGCCAGCTCTGCAAGTCCCCACCGGAGGAGGTCTGGAGAGCCCAGCCTCAGGGCCTATCTTATTGGGCACTGAACTCTGGGCAAGGGAGATTTCGGCCCCCTGCTGACCACCTGGGCAGCCGTGGTAGCCTTGAGTGCCAGAGAAGCTACTAGGCTTCCTGCCGAAGCCCAGGGATACAAGCAGTAAGCGGGGCCTGGCTCTTCCTAAAGAAGGAGCTACAGAAACAGCAGGACCAGCTCAGCGATGGTCTCATCTCAGCCCCTTTGGTGAGACTCTTCCAGATTAGGAAGGAGAGCAGAGTGGGAAGGCAGGTCTTCCCCCTTCCCTGGCCCCAAGTCCCTCTCCCCTCCCCCAGCCTGGAGCACATGAGCAGTTAGAGCGGAGGTAATCTAATCCGCAGCGGGGTGCTTTTACTCAGTGAGTAACTCCCCAGGAATGGGGAGCTGGGTATATTTATCCTGATAACCATCCTCAGAGGAAAGACAGATCTGTGGCCAGTAAGGAGCAATCCACACACAATTAGGACAGATCCACTCTGCCCCCACCCAGCCCTGGGACCTAGGGCCCAGACACTGACTAGGAACTCAATCTCCTGGAGGTGCCTTCCCGGCCAATCTGGGCTCTTTTCAACTGTCTCCTCTCCAAGAATTAATCTCCAGAGAGCAGAGACCTTGTCTTGTCTTGCTTGATGCCATAACCCCAGGAGCTAGAATGAATGGCTGAATGACAGGGGGGCTGTGAAGAGGAGGACGGGGATGGAGCAGTGAGCAGAGAAAGCAGCCAGTGCCCAGGAGCAGGAGCCAGGATGCCCTGATCCAAGCCCCCAGCCTGCTGGGTGCCCATCGGCGGATCCTATAAAAGCTCTCTGGATGTCTTCTCTAGCAGTAGAGTGGACAGAGACTGACTTGTCCCCAATCCTGGTAGTGAGCTCTCAGGAGGAGATACTACTCGATTATGGGCGAGATTTATATAGCACCTTTGAGCTCTTTGCAGTTAGCCTAAAATCTAAATCCAAGATACTGCTATTATCTGAATCCCAGGCAGGAACTGCTCGCCTCAAGGGGATGGATGAGAAACGATCAATACCATAGTGTCATTTAAATATTTAATAGCCATGCCTGGAGGTTATGAAGACTCAGCCACCAATTCTCCTTCGCTGACTCATGCCTCACTCAACAGGAACTGCCATTTTACTCTCACAGCCGTCAAGGAAGTGTGGGCTGGGGGGGGGGGGGGGAGGTGTGACACACAGGAAGCCAGGGGAGAAGGCCGGGGAGTTTTCCAGTCTGCCTGCTGCTGGAGGAGGAGGGGATGGTCATTTGGATAAGGTGGTTCTTCCCTGGGATTCCTATGTGCCTGTCATAGGAGGGTGGTTTCCTGCCTGCTGACGAGCCCTTCCTTGCAGAGACTGACACAATGTGAGTGTGCAGGCAGGCTCACTTTTTTATTGGGTGCCTGGCTTGTACCCAAGGTCACAGGGCCCAGGTAACCGGAGATCACAGAGAATAAAGGCTGAAAGGCTACTGCAGAGGTCACCCTGAGCTCTAGACAGAAGTGCAACTGTGCCAGGCCCCTCTGCACCAGGTACGCCCACAGGGCCCACCCAGCAGGCCCCTGGCTGCTGCAACTTCCCCATCTGCTCTGGCTCTAGAAGATTAAGCAGCAGATGAGAAGAGGTTTACTCTGAACACCTCCACGCGTCTGCAGTGGCGACAGGCACAGGAGCACAGTCCAGACAGGCCAAGAGCACAGTGTCTTTCATATTGTAAATAACTCATCTCTCCCCTCCAAGATCAGCGGGCCCCTCCCCCCTCCAGAGGCTCCGGAACACCAAGGACGCACCTCAGTGATCAGATTTCATCCACCTCTTCAGGTCACCCAGAGACTCTGGACCTTTTAAGGTCAAGTCTAGAGGC